CTTGTTTCTCCCCCGTGGCTTCGTCTCCGTCTGACTGAACGGTGAGGTGACCGGCGTGTAGCAGCGCCGCGGTGCGCTCGGGTTTTGAGAGGAAACCAGAAACTTCCTAACTGCCGGGCCCTGCACGCTCAGTGCGGTGGCAGGGGACTCTCTGGTGCTTCCTTCTGCGTTTTGGGGGGCAAAGCCTGAGCTGCAGGGACTGAGCAGGCACAGTTGCCTTGGCTCCTGTTCTTTTTCAGCGATGCGAGTTTGCCTGGATTGGGGTTGCGTGGCTGTTTGGGTTTGCTGCGTTAGGTTTTTGATCTGTAAAACCAAAAGTCTTACCAGCTCTGACAAAAAGTCACTTTTATTTGCGTATATCCTGGCTTTGTTCTGGGTGGGTGCGCTCTGTTACCTGAATGGGAGGTAGGATGAACACGTCTGACTGAAACCAGATCACTATCGGACTTTTATCCCCTTTCCTAGGTGAGGCAGACTAGGTAGGGTGTAGCTTTTCTGTGTAACCGATGGCTTTCTAATGCTGACAACAGGAAAAACCTCGTGTTGGGTTCAGTTTTAGGCCTCGAGGCTGTCTGTGGAGTGATGTGTTGTCCATCACTTGTGCTGCCTGCATCCGTGCCTTGAGCTGATCCTGCTGGGAAGGCTGTACTGGGCACACTGGGGGCAACGGCCTGCTGTAGCTCCCGTTTTCTGAGTCAGAGGGAGACACATCTGATGGGGGGGGTGTGTCTTAAGGCCAGTGTTTGGTCGCTGGGTGTCTCAGCGCTCTGGGGAACGATGCCGTTAGCACAGGCCTCTGATGAAGCGATCTCCCGCTGTTCCCTTCTGGGCAAGTGGTGCCTTTCGCTTGTAGGACCTTCCCAGTTTGAAACTGGGGCCGCGTCCTGGCCTGCCTTCAGGCTGCCGCGCTGCGCTCCACGTCAGACGGGTCCAAGCACGCGGTGGGCTGTGTGCTGCCCACCTGGGAGCCGTGCTCTTGGTTCTTCTCCAGGCCCTCCCTTGGATGATGGTCTTGTTTCCCCGTCTGTAGTGTGGCAATAATATCCTTACCTGTGCCTGAGGAGTTCGGAGGTTGGATGTTGGTTGTTAATCAAGGTGAGAGCCTCTGAACAAATGTGCAGTTATCCCCCATCATCATCGTTTGTCCCTACAAACTCTTGAGCCTTTTGTTGTTGTTGGCTCCCCGCGGTGTGAGGAGATAAAGTCATCTCTCATCACCACCCCCCCCCCTCAGTTGCTGTTATCAGGCCCTGGCTTGTGACATTGCTGCAGCCCCCCGGGGACAGCGGTGATGGGACTGAAGGGGCTTGAGCAGGACGATGACAGAGGGCCCCTGCTTACACCCGCTTGCCTCGGCTGAGCTTGGGGCCTCGCAGCAGG